GCTTGTACTGCTCAGTGACGCGCGAGTCTGATAGGAGACACTCTGATAAGAGGCAAAATCTACAGAAATCCATGGAAAATGAACCAGGGTGTCGTGTATAGGTTTCATGCCAAAAACTAGGGTGGTATGTGTTAGAATATTCCCCTATTCTATATTAGCCTACATCGTTTATAAGGCTTAGGTCATTGTAAGCAACCTATCTCTACTAGGGTGTAGTAACCCTAGGTTGGGGGTTGGCTTCCCACCTTGTTTGGGTTCCAACCTTGGCCATTATTGGCCCCCCCAATGGGATTGACCTCCCAATTATTGGAGACCCCAATAATCCTACCAAGATTATTGGACCCTCCAATAATCTTGGTTGGGATCATTGGACCCCCCAATAATTCCCAACTCCATTATTGGTGGGGACCAATAATCTTGGCCAAGGTCCCAACCAAAACCCCCCCCCCTTCTTACCCTCACACCTATGTATACCCTCATTTCTTCAATAACATCATCAACTTCTCTTCTCACATGGTATTCAGAGCCTATGGCTCACGCCACCTCCTAGAACGATCCTGAAAGCGTGTTCCTTCCCACGCCCTCCCTCCGCGCACTCTGCGCCTTGCTCCCGCGCATTCCGCGCTGCCCCCCCCTAGCGCACCCCGTGCCCTCTCCGCGCGCATTTCCGCGCCGCTGCCGCATTTCGCGGCTCTCCCGTTGTCGCTCGTCGCGACCGTTCGTCGCTGCATTTCGCGGCTCTCCCATCGCCGCATTTCGCGGCTCTCCCGTCGCCGCATTTCGTGGCTCTCTCGTCGCCGCTTGTCGCGACCGCTCGTCGCGGCACTTCGCGGCCCTCCCGTTGCCGCACTTCGTGGCCCTCCCGTCGCCGCATTTCGCGGCCCTCTCGTCGCCACATTTATCGGCCTTTCCGTCACTCCATTTCGCGGTTGCTCGTCGCCGCATTTCGCGACCCTCCCGTCGTCACCACTCGTCGCGCGCAGCATGCACTACCACGCAACGCAATCTCGCCATCCGTGCCGCTCGACGACCCTTTCGTGGAAGGATTCCAAGGCTACGGCGACTTAAGAGCTGCGCTCCGCGCACCCGTCCTTTTCTCCTTCCTCTCTCCTCCTCCCCCTCCCCCCACGTCGCTGGAAGCCGGCCCCTGGTCGCTGGTAGCTGGCTGCACGTAGCTGATTCCCACCCGCCATGGCAACGAACTCGCTCGCGGTTGACATCAGCACCATCGATGCACTTGAACTCGCCGATGGCGTGGTTCCTATCAATTGGAACTCGTTCGCGCAAAGCATCACCACAGTTCTCGGCTCCACCATCATCAACGACTTCTGCCTCCTCGACATCCTCGAGGACACTGAGGCAGGAAAGCCCCCCTCCCCCCCTGCCAAGCTTGGCCCCCGCCCTTCCCCCCCCCCTGATCCCCCCTCAGGACCTGAGCCCATCAAGCCCACTCACCCCGAGTACAACACTGATCCTGACCGCTGGGCTCGCCTCCGCACTAAGTACGACAAAGACTTCGCCGACTACACTCTTCTCGAACACACCTACTCCGAGAAGCAGAACGCCCACGACGAGGCCAAAGCACTCATCTCCAAGTATGACGAAGACGTTGCTCAGCATGCCGCAGACTCTCGTGAGTTTCGCACTCGCTATGCTGCTTGGGTTCAAGCTGACCGCAAATGCCTCTCCATCCTCATTGCTTGCGTCCCTTCCTCCCTTAAACGCGAGATCAATCCCTCCTCCTCTGCCTCTTTCTGGAAGGAGCTTTGTGCCACCTATGACCTGCAGGACACAAACTCCCTCCTCGCACTCCATCGTGCATTCCTCGAGATCACACTCGATAGCTGCCCCAACGCGCTTGCTTTCACCCGGTGCCTCACCTCCACTGCCAGCCGCCTCGCTGCTCGCGGCTCAGCTCTTCCCGATTCCCTCCTTGTGTGCCGCCTCCTCGACAGCCTCTCGCCGATGTTTGACACGCGCAAGGTGGCCTTCGATGAAGTCCATGCCCGCTACCCGCCTGACTCCACCGAGGTCGTCACGTGGATCCTAAAGACTGAGGCGGAACTCCTCCGCCAGTCTCCCCCAACCGTGAATGCCGCACAGGCACGTGGTGGACGTGCTGGCGGACGTGGTGGCAGCACGGCGGGGCGCTCTGGAGGAGGTCGCGGGGGCGGACGCAGTGGTTGACGCGGCGGTGGCAGCGGCCGAGGCACCGGTAACTACCCTCCATGTCAGTATCTCATTCGTTACGGCACCAACAAAGGTCAGCGCTGCCTCCAAACTACTCATCCCACAACCACCTGCTTCAAGGCACTTACGGATGAATGGTTTGACCGCGGGAACACTGGTATCCCACCTCGCTGGTCGTCCATGACTCCGCCCCCCACTGCTCTTGATGTTCGCACTTCTCCCGCCTATCAGCCGCCCTCCCTTCGCCAGATCCTGGCACAGCACCTGTCCCCCCAAGTCCTCCAGCACGTTCAATCCCTTCTCCCTCCGCAGCAGCAGCAGCAGTACACCCAGCAGCAGCAGCAGTACCCCCAGCAGCAACAGCCGTCTCAGCAGCAGTACCAGCAGCAGTACCAACAGCAGTACCAGCAGCAGCAGCAGCAACAGCTGCAACAGCAGCAGCAGCAGCCGACTCCTCCACCCCCATCTCAGCAATCCTCCGCTTCGAGTGCTTTACCGGCCACAACTGCCCAGACTCCCTCTGGTCCTCCCGGTTTCACTCCCTTCCCCTTTGCTGGTTTCTTAGGTCATGTTACTCAGCCCGATCCCACTATTCTGTATCCCGAATCTATTAATGAAGCTTCTTTCCAGTATTCCCGGACCCACTCCTCCCCTCCCCTTGAGTTCGTAATTGACAGTGGAGCAAGCGCCACGGTCCTCCGTGACGCCGGTCATCTTGCTCCCCTCACCTCCCCCTCCACCATCCTTGGAGCAGATTCCAGTTTCCCCATCACCACCACTCACACCTCCACCCTCCCCTGTCCCCTTTTTCCCTCTGGCTCCGTCACAGGTTTTCACATCCCCTCACTTCGTACTAACCTTGTCTCCCAAGGTGCCCTCCAACGTGCCGGGGTGAATACGATCTACCCCGGCCACGCTTCCCACTGTGACTTGTATCACTCCACCTCCGGTCGATTCATTACCCGTGTCCCCTTATGTCCTACCTCTCGTATGTACACCCTTCGCACTCCTCGTCCCGCCCTGTGTCAGGCTGCCTCTCTTACCCCCTCCGGTCCCCCTACACTTTTTCCTCTTCAACCCCCACCCACCAGTCCCTCCTCTCCTCCAGCACCCCCCCCATCCCAATGCCACTGCCGGGATCTTTCCCATCCCGCCCTACTCCTCCACCACCGCCTTGGGCATCCCAATTTTGCCACCCTCCAACGCACTGTTGCCACTGGCCTTCTCAAAGGCCTTCCACTCACCGTTCCCCCTCTCCCTCCCTCTCTTGCCCCTCCCTGCACCATTTGTGTTCAGGCTAAGCTGAAACAACTCCCTCATAAAAGCCACCCCTCATATGCCCCTGAGCTCCTGGACATTGTCCATATGGATCTCTGGGGACCCAACCCCTCCCCTACCCGCTAGGGTCACCGCTACCTTCTTGTCCTCGTCGACGATCACTCCCGGTATACCTCGGTCTCTCTCCTTCGAACGAAGGCCGAGGCTCCGGCTGCGATCATCGCTTGGGCAGAGCAGGCCCGTACACACTTTAAACGCCCCGTTCGTCGCTTCCACTCCGATGGAGGTGGCGAATTCCTAAACCAGCAGTTTTCCTCATACTGCATTTCCCATGGCATTCGCCATACCCATACCCTTCCGCACTCCCCAGAGCAGAATGGTTTGGCCGAGGCTCGGATTCGAGAGATCACTAAAACTGCTCGGTGTCTCCTAGTTCATGCCTCGTGCCTGCCCTCTCTTTGGGGCTATGCTCACCTCCACGCGACCCTCCTAACTAACCTCTACCCCCACCCCCTCCGTCCTTCCACTACCCCTACCGAGCTTTGGACGTCCTCCAAGCCCGATATTTCTCCCCTTCGCGTCTGGGGCTCAAAGGCTCATGTCCTCATACACCGCCGACCGCTCTCGCACAGCAGGGAAGCTTGCCTCCAAGGCCCTTCCCTGCATCTTCCTTGGGCACAACCCTTCTTCCCCTGATTACCTTTTCCTCCATCCCCCCTCAGGTCGTCTCATACGTAGTCGGGACGTCGTCTTCGACGAATCCACCCCGTACTACTCTTCCCCCCCCACAAGTGACCCTCTTACTGTCACCCCTCGCCCTCTCACTGTGTCCGACACGATCTCCCTGCCTCTTCTCCCCCCTCCCCCCCTTGTCCCCCCACCTCCCCCTCCCCCACTTCCCCCGTCCTCTGGTCAATCTGACGACGCCTCTGATTTGGTAATCCCCCCCTCTCCCTCCCCCTCCTCCGCTTCCGCCCCTCCTCCTGCCCCTACTCCCGCTTCCACCTCCGCCTCTGATCCCGCCCCAGCCGCCACCTATCTTGCCCCTCCTGCCCCTGGCCCCGCTCCTGCCCCCCCTCCTGCCCCCGCTCCTGCCCAGGATCAACCTCCTCTTGTTCTTCGACATCGCCCGCATACACAGTCCATGGATCCCATTTTTGGTCCTCCCATCCCTGCCCCCACCTCCCGACCTCAGTCCCCTCACCCTCCCTCCATCCAGATACCATTTGACAGCACCCCCTCCGCCCCTCCTTCTGCAGCACCACCCCCGCCGTGCAGCAGCGCAGCAGTCCACCTGTACAACAGCCCTCCAACTCCGTCATGCAACAACGCAACCATCCCGCCATGCAGCAGCGCACCCGTCCAGCATTGCAACAGCAACGTGCAGCCGTGTGGCCGAGTCGCCATCTCGCCACCACCCCTACCTCCGCCTCTCTCTCCTCTCCTTATTGAGGACTCCCATGGCGAGTTCCTCCGCCTCCACCTTTTTTCCTCCTCTTGCGCCGTCGCCTTCAACGTCGCCGGGGCGCCAGTCTTGGTCTTCGAAGGCGCGCCCATCATCTTCGAGCCCGGAGACTATGATGAAGCCATGACCTGCCCTGACAGTCCTCATTGGGGAAAGGCCGTCCTCAAGGAGAACGAAGCCTTCGTACGCAATGGCACCTTTGTCGACGTCCCTCGCCCCCCCAACACCAACGTGGTCAAGGGCAAGTGGGTCTTTCGTGTGAAGCTCCTTCCCGGCGATGACCCAATCTACAAAGCTCGTTACTGCGCTAAAGGTTTTACGCAGCGGTATGGTCACGACTTCTTCGAGACATACTCACCGACCGCGACACCGCCAGTTGTGCGCGTCTTCCTCGACTTTGTCGGTCGACGTGGCATGATCCTTCACTCCATGGATGTCACTACGGCATTCCTGCAGGGCGAGCTTCATGAACGCATCTTCATGGAGCGCCCCAAGGGCTGGCATCTCCCCTTTGACCCTAATACTGTCTGGGAGCTCCGCCGCCCTGTGTACGGCCTCAAGCAGGCTCCTCGGGAGTGGCACGCCAAGCTCTCCAGCACCCTTCGAGACCTTGGTTTTCGCCCCTCCGCGGCTGCCACCAGCCTCTTCCTCCGCACCTCTCCCTCCCCCTTCTACATTCTCGTCTATGTCGACGATATGTTACTCGCCGCCGACAATGACGCTGAAATGCAGCAAGTCAAGGACGAGCTTCAGAGGCGCCTTGCCTGCAAGGACCTGGGAGAGGTCCGCAATTACCTCGGCATGGAGATCACCCGTGACCGCGCGGCGAAAAACATCTCTCTCTCTCAAGCCTTCTACGTCCAAAAGGTCCTTGAGCGGTTCGAGATGGCTACAGCCAAACCCATCTCCACGCCGCTTCCCGTCGGACACCAGCTCTCCCCCGCCGCCACCCCCTCCTCCTCCACTCAACCATACGCCGAGCTCGTTGGGTCCTTGATGTACGCAATGATGTGCACACGTCCTGACCTCGCCTACCCCATCAGCATCCTGGCACGCTTTGTCGGTGCTGGCAAGCACACTCTCGAGCATTGGCAGGCGGCCAAGCGTGTTCTACGCTACCTACGAGGCACCAAGGACTATGTCCTCACCCTTGGAGGACCCTCCCCTCCTGCGCTCATTGGCTACAGTGACTCGTCCTGGGCCGACTCCCAACCCGACCGCCGCAGTTCTCAAGGGTATGGCTTCTCCCTTGGCAGCGGTCTCATCTCATGGCGCTCCACCCGCTCCTCCTCCATAGCTCTCTCCTCCTGCGAAGCCGAACATTACGCCGTCACCATGGCGGCCCAGGAGGCACGGTGGCTTAGCTACCTCCTCGCTGAGCTGGATGCCCCCCAGCCCTGTCCCATCATTTGGTGCGACAATGCCAGCACCATTCACCTTACCAAGGAAGCCGTCTTCCACGGCCGCTCCAAGCACATCGAGTTGCGCCACTACTTCGTCCGTGAGCTTGTCCAAGCCGGGCACCTGGCCGTCCGCAAGATTGACTCCTCCGCCAACCTTGCAGATCTTTTCACCAAAGCTCTCTCTCGGCCCGCTCATGCTACTCTTCTCCGGCTAACTGGCCTCGCTCCTCCCTCCTCTCGCAGGAGCACCTAATTCAGGGGTTGCTCTTTCAAGCGCCTCCGCCTTCTAGCCCTATGTAGGCTAAGGGGTTGTGTTAGAATATTCCCCTATTCTATATTAGCCTACATCGTTTATAAGGCTTAGGTCATTGTAAGCAACCTATCTCTACTAGGGTGTAGTAACCCTAGGTTGGGGGTTGGCTTCCCACCTTGTTTGGGTTCCAACCTTGGCCATTATTGGCCCCCCCAATGGGCTTGACCTCCCAATTATTGGAGACCCCAATAATCCTACCAAGATTATTGGACCCTCCAATAATCTTGGTTGGGATCATTGGACCCCCCAATAATTCCCAACTCCATTATTGGTGGGGACCAATAATCTTGGCCAAGGTCCCAACCAACCCCCCCCCCCTTTCTTACCCTCACACCTATGTATACCCTCATTTCTTCAATAACATCATCAACTTTTCTTCTCACAGAAATCCATGGAAAATGAACCAGGGGGTCGTGTATAGGTTTCATGCCAAAAACTAGGGTGGTATGAATATCTAGTTTAATAAAGCACCCTGGTCCGCCCAAACCACCCATGGGTGATTAATTCCGGCGGGTATTTTATCCGGGGGAATACGGTAAGACCAAGACTCAAAGTCTTTGATTCTTGGTCCCGCTCGCCAACTTCGCGAGGTGGGGGCGAAACGACGGGCGAAAGGGAGGTTGGGCGAAGGGAGGGACTTGGGTTGGCGGCACTCGGCGACCATGAAAAAACATATAGTGTCGAACGCGTGAAGGGGGGTGTTCAAACATAACAAAATCGCTAATGCTAAAGCCTCGCCGCCATGCAAAGGAGCCCCACGAACAGGGCCAGCCACACAAGCCATAACATCCCAAGCGACACCCAACACGCAACCAAAAGGCTAAAAAAACTACCTAGGGCGACGAGGGGACAACCCACGACGTGCATCAAACACCGTGAACGGAATGCCAAGTCCAGAGTCGTGAGAAAGAGAGGGAACCCTAGAAATTCCTGATAGCCACCAAGCGCAAGGTAGACTCGACAGAGACGAGGCATGGGGAAAGGAGTCTCAATAAACTAATTCAAACACTACACGGTAGGCAGTGGCGAGAGAGGGGGAGCGCCGCACAAACTATCCGCAGCGTCGCGGGAACTATGGAATAACAAACATGCGCCCTGCGCGACAAGGCAGGAGGGGCTCGCACCGCATAAAAACGAGGGGAAAGGGAAGTGGAGACGCGCCTGGAGGCCTGCGCCCGACGGAAGGCGACCGAAGACAGGCGCGCCGAACACGCGCCTGATAAAACGTGAGAAACGGACGATGGACCCCCGCCACTAGGTCTCGCATCAACTCCCCCGCTCCCCTGCACCAAGCACACTCCTGCAGCATGGAAACCCCTCCCATCGCGCGGGTTGGAACATGCTCTGCACCGCGCCCCCACCCACACTGTCATCCGCAAGTCCACGGCACCACACTCCCTCACACCGCACGCCACTCACTCCCGCCTCCAAACGCCAACCCCCACGACCTCATGCCGTTCTGCTGCGCCACATCCCCGCTGTCTGCACAGCATTACCTCTCATTACCCCGCTTTCTGAAGGGCCGCACCACTCTCGTACTTGCTGCACCCCACTCTCACACGCTTCCCTGCACCCCAGCCCGCTGCACCGCCCACAAGCTCTTTGTACCACAGTCCCCGGCACAGGGTGCCCCGCCCTCCTGCTGAACCACCGACGGCCCCCCTGCACCTCACTCCCAAGCGGGAAGCCCCCCACTCTCGCCCGGGAGAACCGCACCCCCATGAGACGCTCGAGTGGCATACTCCCTCACGTCGCATCACGGGTCCATCCGCTGCGCTGAGGGACGTTACGCTGCACTGCACAGGCTCCTGCTGAACCACACTCCCTCCTGCTGGACCACACTCTGAGGCACTGCACCACATTCCCTCCTGCTGCACGCACGCACCTCACTGCCTTGTCCGCAGCAAGCACACACGCGCCGCACTTCGCAGCCTTGGTGCTCAAAGGACACACGCACCACACCTCACTGCCTCGGCTGCTCAAAGCACACACGCGCCGCACCTCGCAGCCTTGGCTGCTCAAAGCACACACGCGCCACACCTCACAACTAGCGCTGCTCAAAGCACACATGCGCCGCACCTCGCAGCCTTGGCTGCTCAAAGCACACACGCGTCACACCTCGTAACTAGCGCTGCTCAAAGCACACATGTGCCACACCTCGCAGCCTTGGCTTCTAAAAGCACACACGCGCTGCACCTCGCAGCCATGGCTGCTCAAAGCACACACGCGACGCAAATCGCAGCCTTGGCTGCTCAAAGCACACACGCACCGCACCTTGCAGCCTTGGGTGCTCAAGGCACACACGCGCTGCACCTCGCAGCCTTTGCTGCTCAAAGCCGCGTGGGCTGCACCTCGCAGCCTTGGCTGCTCAATGCACACACGCGCCGCACCTCGCAGCCTAGGCTGCTTCAAGCCGCTTGGGCTGCACCTCGCAGCCTTGGCTGCTCAAAGCACACACACGCCGCAACTCGCAGCCTTGGATGCACCAAGCACACACGTGCCACCTCTCACTACATTGGCTGCTCAAAGCACACACGCGCGGCACCTTACTGCCTTGTCTGCAGCGAGCGCACACGTGCAGCACCTCACTGCCTTGTCTGCAGCGAGCACACATGCACTGCACCTCCCTGCCATCCCTGCAGCACGCACACACGCACTGCACCTCCCTGCCCTTGCTACAGCAAGCACACACGCACTGCACCTACCTGCCTTTGTTGCAGCAAGCACACACGCACTGCACCTCCCTGCCATTTCTGCAGCAAGCACATACGCACTGCACCTCCCTGCCTTTGCTGCAGCAAGCACACACGCACTGCACCTCCCTGCCATTTCTGCAGCAAGCACACACACACTGCACCTCCCCGCCTTTGCTACAGCAAGCACACACGCACTGCACCTCCCTGCGGTTTCTGCAGCAAGCACACACGCACTGCACCTCCCCGCCTTTGCTGCAGCAAGCACACACGCACTGCACCTCCCTGCGGTTTCTGCAGCAAGCACACATGCACTGCACCTCCCTGCCTTTGCTGCAGCAAGCACACACGCACTGCACCTACCTGCGGTCCCTGCAGCAAGCACACACGCACTGCACCTCACTGCCTTTGCTGCACCAAGCACACTAGCACTGCACCTCCCCGTCCCTGCAGCAAGCACACACGCACTGCACCTCACTGCCTTTGCTGCACCAAGCACACTAGCACTGCACCTCCCCGTCCCTGCAGCAAGCACACACGCACTGCACCTCCCTGCCTTTGCTGCAGCAAGCACACACCCACTGCACCTCCCTGCCGTCCCTGCAGCAAGCACACACGCACTGCACCTCCCTGCCTTTGCTGCAGCAAGCACACACGCACTGCACCTCCCTGCGGTCCCTGCAGCAAGCACACACGCACTGCACCTCACTGCCTTTGCTGCACCAAGCACACTAGCACTGCACCTCCCCGTCCCTGCAGCAAGCACACACGCACTGCACCTCCCTGCCTTTGCTGCACCAAGCACACATGCACTGCACCTCCCTGCCTTTGCTGCAGCAAGCACACATGCACTGCACCTCCCTGCCTCTGCTGCAGCAAGCACACATGCGCCACCTCATAGCCTTGTCTGCACCAAGCACACATGGGCTGCACCACCCACTCGCCAGCTAGGGCAACAATGCCTCTCACTGCACCGTCCACACACACGCTGCACACTTGCACCTGTGTCACACTTCCTACCCCCCTGCAGGTTTGTGCAATACACGTGCTGGCAATGGCTACCCCGAGAGCACCACGAGCACTAAGAGCTTTGGTGGATTCAAAGGGGGGTAGTGTGAACATCACATGCAATCGATAGTAAAGGTGCAGAGACTTGGGCTGACAGTGCTCCTGGGGCTAGAGGAGGAGGCCGCAAGCATGGATGATCTGTTGTACTTTTTTGCGCAGCATGCTAGGGACGCCGTTAAGCGTCTAGAGGAGGCAGCCTTCCATGTCGGTAAGCGCGATTCTATGCTCCCGACCTGGTGTGTTTGTCTTGCACCGCCCCTGCTAATGCTGTCACCCAAAACGACCTAGAATATCCCTCTGTGCCCAGTCTCGCAGGCCGACGGGGCTGCAGCTCGAAGCCTTGTCACCGAGCACAAGATGGCGTACAGCCACATATTTAAGCATCGGATGAAGGGTGGTGCGACAACCGCCGAGGAGCTCCTCAAACGGTCAAACTAGGAACTGCAAGGCGTGGCTCTCAACTTGCCGCTGTACACATGGAGAAAGAACGGAAAGTACATACTCGCCGAGGGGGCAGGATGGGGCAGGGGTCGTAAAGGAGAGGATTTCATAGCTCGGCAAGGTGAGCATCGGGACGCTGGGAAGGAAGGTGTGGGGAGGCATCTGGAGAAGGGACGCCAACCTCCCCTGCAATGCCTCACCCCTCTTATCCACAACCCCCCACCCTCTGCAAACAGCGTAGGGGGTGACGGCGGGGTCATCAGTGGAGACGCGCAGCCCGGTGATATCGAACCAGGGGACGTGGGTACCGGGAACAACCCCGCGCCACCAGTGGGTGACGGAAGACAGACATCTAGAGGCGGGTA